TTCGTGGTCACACACACACATATCTCAACTTTTAAATCATTTACGAATGTCCATTTTGTACCTTTAGCTCGCAATAAATTTGTGTAATCTTCTTCGTTTATCAGGAGACGCGGTAGTGTCTCTTGCCATGGTCAAAAACTGAAAGACACTACAAGTCACCATATTTTTATCATGATGAAGAATTACACTGTTAACTTTATAAATATTATCACCAATACAAATTTTTTGACAGCATTTTTGTAGACGTTGTAAACAGCAGCTTAATGGACAAAATGCTTTACATGCATGTGTCATACGGACTGAAAAAATCTTGAAATGGTCCCTTTTCGAAATTTGGTCTCCAGATCTCGGTATCGGCTGCACCAATGTTATTCAGACTGGTCACAAAATCGAAAGATACCGATGATATTATATAATAAAAGTGTTTTTAGATTTTTGATTGGGTTTTTAATTTCTGAGTAATTTTAATTTAAAGTTTGTAGATGCGTCAAAACACTAAATAAAACTATAGTCGCAAATTGACAACGACATGAACATATATACGCAATGACGTTCACGATCAAGCGATCAAATCAAGTGATTGGATTTACTCAATAAAAAAAATGACAATTGAATAAAAAATAAATAATTTTTATACAAAACAAAAATAAACATATCCTTTCATTTAATAAATATTAGATGAATTACTATTCAAATAAATATTTATTAAAATTTAGTACACTTTTTAAATGTCTGTATTCGTCTAATTGCAAGTAAGAATACGTATTAATTAATTAAATTGTTCAAATATGTGTAGTGTAGATTATTCTCGAAATTCTCACATTCTGCGTATTACGAAATATTACGGAATATTCGTGAAACAAAGTGACCTCAGAATGAGCGTGGGGGCAACGAAAATTTTAACTATCTTTTTTTTTTATTATTGAGAAGTAAGTCAAGTTATATTATGAAGTACTCCGTCAACTCTCGACGTATTATTACAGTTCTGGCGTTAAATTAAAGCCGACAACATTTACTATTCTAAGGACCTTAAAGGCAATTCCATTTTTCGAGATTCCTGTCAAGTTTCCTACTCTTTAACAGCACCGGTAATTTGCGCGAGCTCGGGGACTTCCTAAATTTCTCAAAGTAGTTTCTTTTGAAACATTCCGCGGGATGGTATAGGAAGACGTCCCAAGACATTGTCATTGTCTGTACCTCGACTCAGCATAGACGTTTGAGAGCGACGAGCGAAAAAGAGGGAAGAGGAACAAAAGTCGACGGCGCGGCGCGGCGGAGGAAAGGAAACGCATTCGCTCGAGGAAAAGAGTTCCCCGCCGCGCCGTCTCTCCACCTGCCGATGATTTGACTTTATAATCGAGTCAGCCTCGTTCAATTACAATGGAATCTCTCATGGAATTTGCCGCAAACAGTACGCGATTCAATGCGGCTCGATCGTGCTCCCCGGTAAATATTCGCCCGGTCGGCACTCCGCGCCGGATGCATAAGCCGTACGCGACGAATGATTTTCAAGCTCATGATTAATTCACGGATGGCAAGCTCTGTTAGTTCCGCAAAAGGCGGAAATGTTGCTTAACCGGTTGGTAGCCGTAAATGAAAAATACGCTCGCCGCATACTCGAGTAGTATTCCTGTAATATTATTATTGCGTTGTGTAAGTAACATTAATATCGCATTAACGCTGGAATTTGACGTAATATTACCTCGATGCGCACTTATTCGAGATCACTCGTTGTTGACGCATTCCATTATTCCCAACAAACACGCATAGAAATCACGCGGATTTCATATTCCTATATAATGTAATAATATTCACAATGTTGCTGTGTGCGGTCAGGGAGAGAGAGAGAGAGAGAGAGAGAGAAATCGGTATGAAACATTTATCAGGGTACAGCGTTTCGCGGCGAGGTGAAATTCAATGGAAAATAGGAAATCGGGATTCGATGAGAGGACACTCGTCCCGGGCCAAGCCTGTTTTCCTAAATACTAGGAAATGTTTATTGAGCAAACACATCTGGATGCATACGATCGGTGCAGCCGTATCTGTTCAATATTTTATGCTAAAACAACCGGGGAACTTGATCACACGCGCGGACGCGTAGGCCACCACCGCTCATCTACTCGTTAATGTATTCATTAGAGGGGATGTCCTGTATCTCGTCGTCCACGATCGTTTAATCCAAAAATATTGCTGTTTTTTTTTTTTTTTTTATTACGGCATAAATTATGACGCGCATCTCAATCACCGCGGAATTAAAATATATTAAACTACATTCATGGAGAAAAAAATGCCTTGGATAATAATTTTATCAACTTTTACAAAGAGAGAGAAAAGATCTGAATTTAACGAGAGAATAATCATCTACTCTTAGATTCCTTGTTTCTATTGTATTATATTTGAATAAAATAAAAGAAGTGATGTTATTACTAAGAAAATAGATAATGTCTGTATCTTGCTAGGAAATGTAGCGTTAGCAGTGTTTCGTTTTTCGTCTTCGTTTTTCGTGTTCGATTCACGTTCATTATCCATGGAATGGCATGAATGATTAAAGAGCTTCAACCGAAAGCTCCAACCTCCAAAAACTGCAAGCGTATAATTTACGTAGGATTGATGTGGCAGGTAAAGCGTTAAAAAGCCGCTCGATGGGCGCAATGGCCCTTTCAGTTATTCTCGAATCAGATTGCTGTAAAGCCACGGAAAAGACTCCTCGTTGGTATCGCGAGGAAAAATAAGCGCGATCGAAGCACGTTAATGGGGATACGTCACGCTGACCGCAGATAACATGGTTGGACTGACCGCTTGTGAATAGTTGAACGAATATCACCGAATAGCGGTGATTTTCGGAAGCGCGCCTTTTGATGCCCGTTATAAACGTTAAATCGATTAGACGAGGCCAAGCTTTTACGCGCCGGGCGCAAATCGCGTTTCGAGCACGCGGCACGCGAAACAGTGCCGCGCGAATCACGACCGCCGATCAGAGAATTCCATTTAATCTAGCCGGTCGCGCGAGGATAACGCTTCTCTCGTTCATTTCTTCCGCGTGATTCACCTTCGTGGGATTGTAATTACGCGTTATATAATAAAAGGAAAATGCGGGATAGCGAGAGTACGTACTAAATATTTTGTGAAATCGCAGAGGCTTACACGATGCTACGTGTCACACGTGTCGAAGCTTTTCGGTAAAGCGCACGAGGGCGCTATTTTATTTTGGCAGATTCTGCAACCCGGCAATCACTATCGACGTGTATTTGCAGGCAGTTTAATGCAGCTGATATTCCATCCCGTCTATCAGCATATGCAACAACACTAGAAAATCGATAATACCTGCTGCATTAGTAACTCAAAACTTTGCACTGTGAAAATTTTCATCCATTACACACGACTGATTTCGCATTATTACATTCCAATGTTTAATTCACTCAAAGTTGCGAGAGTTTATCTCATCTAATTCAACAGAGAGGAGGGGGGAGGAGAAAATATCATTTATTATGCGCTTTCGAACAACAAGTTTCTTCAAGCGCAAAGCATTATCTTATGTTCCTATAAACGTAACAAAAAAGTAAGAAAAATACAAAAGATGTAACAAAAAGAAAAATAAATAGGAAAATAAAAGAGAGAAAATTTTTGATCTGATTACAGTTTATATGTATTTGTGTGTGGTATCGAAAGCTGTTCGATAAATTTGTTGATTTTTGTATCCGTTCGTTACTACTTAAATTCTATAACAAACGTGATCGATGAAAAGCTCATCCCAAGCAGGATACGCGATTCTTGTTTGTCGAATTTGCCTTGCAATAGTCTTGCTTTTATTTTCTATTTTCAAACTCTGAACGGGATATCCTATAACAGTGTGCTATCGCTCCTTTCCTCGCGGAGTAGCCAACGCTGAAATCTTCCGCCGAGATTAAATGACTTCCAGTTGTATAGAATCTTAATGTCGGAAGGCGCTACTTTGCTGAAGATACTGCGCGCTTTCTGCGAAACGGCTTCAAGCAGGATTTAATGTTTCGTGAAACACGGAGTACAGATTAAAATGCCTTAGACCGGATTTATCTTCGTTGCTGTATTAAGCGTGATTTTAGAAATATTTGTATTCGCCCGAATGAGTTCGGATTAACGGACAAAGAACGTATAGTGTTAGTTTTATCGGTATTCTCTCCTTTCTCAGATTTCCTTAAATCCCTTTCCTCCCCAAGAATTACATACAGACGAATTAAAAGCAGGTGAGATAAAAGTATATTATTCCACGTAAAATATTCTAAGGACAGCGGGATTACTTTGATAATGTGTGTGTGTGTGTGTATTTACACTTATATGATTATACATATTTTACTCATTTGCAACATAACTAAAAAATTAATTTTTTAGTTGATACAAAAAAATAATGAAATCCTTAAAAAAACACGCTTTTATTCCTCTACAATTAATTATTACCAAAAACATTGCATTTTAAGATTAATATTCCAAAATTTTGATGAGATTTAAAATATTTAAATTCATTTTCTGGAAAATTTCGTTTTCTGAATTGTGTCGCGTGCATAATTTATTATAAATATACGACATAAATATATTACATATATTCGTACATATATTATGTACATAAAAGTCCTTCTAGTGCTCGCTACAAGATAAATCATAAATGATATCCATATTATATTTGTAATCTGATCGCATGTGACATTTTTCGTTTAACTTCCTCTACATTATTATTTTATTCACTCTTTTCCTAGAGACTCGAATCTTTCATTATTATTTCATATACTTATTATACATTAATACTTAATCACATGTTGCTGTAAAAGTCTTGACGGTCTTAAACGGATTTATCATATCTTAATAACGAAGTATCGACATGAGCATCTCTATTTTACGACGTTCGAACGGCACGTAGCGTCGCGCGTCGCGGTCGATATGCTGTGTGAAGTTAGCTGCAGACGCATGCGCGCGACGTACGCCTCGGACCTCGAGCAACTTCGCGACGGTCCACAGTGGCAGTCCGGAAGCGTAAGGTGTTGGATTGGATATGTTTTTTGTCGTAATTTTCTCGTGTCAATTCCGTGGAAAGTTACATATCTAAATGTAAACAGTACGCAAGGTGTATTTAAAGAATTTATTCGCAGCGTCGTACATCGAGGTAAACATTGATGTAAACATGATTCTAGAATTAAAACATATTATTTCGTATGTATATATTGAAAAACCGATGCACATACACACACATTCATTTGCGTAGTCTTTGTTACAGCTTTTCGTTTTCCACAATTTTTTTCTCAACAAAATGCGAATCATTATTTTCTGCAAACGATCTCGTAAATATCATCTCGAAACACTTGCCTTGGCGAACATAACCTAAACGCTCGAGTGATGTCCGGCTATAGTCTCGATGATTAAGATTTAAGCTGATTTCTCTGCCATCAGTCTTACAATTGTATTTTTAATAATTTTACACAAATATAACATATGTCATATATAACCTTCTGTATTATTTAAGAAGATTCCAAATGTGGATAATAAGGTTAACCTTTCTTTTTTTTACTTACAGTTCAGACAAGATGTCGACGTCAGCAATATACATTTTAGACGTGAAGGGCAAGGTGTTGATCTCACGAAATTACCGTGGCGACATCGAGACCGGTGTCATAGAAAAATTTATGCCGCTGGTGATGGAACGTGAAGAGGAAGGCAATCTTACGCCTATCATTCAGACCCCGGAATGTACATACGCTTACATAAAATATAACAATTTATATATTGTGTCTACTACCAAGAAAAATGCAAACATATCCCTAGTATTTGTATTCCTGCACAAAGTGGTGCATGTAATGCAGGAATATTTTAAAGAATTGGAGGAGGAGAGTATAAGGGACAACTTTGTCGTTATTTACGAGCTTCTAGACGAGTTACTAGATTTTGGCTATCCCCAAACTACCGATAGTAAGATTCTACAGGAGTATATAACACAAGAGGGTCACAAACTAGAGATTCAACCCAGGATTCCTATGGCTGTAACCAACGCTGTCTCGTGGCGGTCAGAGGGTATCAAGTATCGCAAGAACGAGGTCTTTCTGGATGTAATAGAATCGGTGAATCTACTAGCGAACGCCAATGGAAATGTTTTGAGCTCAGAGATCGTCGGTGCCATAAAGATGAGAGTTTATTTGTCAGGAATGCCGGAATTAAGACTGGGTCTCAACGACAAGGTTCTGTTTGAGTCAACGGGTCGTGGTAAATCCAAATCTGTGGAATTGGAGGACGTCAAGTTCCATCAGTGCGTTAGACTTTCCCGATTCGAAAACGATCGAACGATTTCCTTCATCCCGCCGGATGGCGAGTTCGAACTCATGTCATACAGACTAAATACACATGTAAAACCACTAATATGGATCGAATCCGTGATCGAGCGGCATGCTCACAGTCGAGTGGAATATATGATAAAAGCGAGATCGCAGTTCAAGCGCCGATCTACGGCGAACAATGTAGAGATCGTGATCCCGGTGCCGAACGACGCCGACTCGCCCAAGTTCAAAACCACGATCGGCAGTGTCAAGTACTCGCCGGAGCAGAGCGCCATTACTTGGATCATCAAGTCTTTCCCCGGTGGCAAAGAGTACCTGATGAGAGCGCACTTCGGGCTACCGTCGGTAGTCGGCGAGGATGTCGAAGGCAAACCGCCCATACAGGTAAAATTCGAGATTCCATACTTCACTACATCCGGCATTCAGGTGCGATACTTGAAGATCATCGAGAAGAGTGGCTACCAGGCTTTGCCATGGGTTCGTTACATCACGCAGAACGGAGATTACCAGCTGCGGACAAATTAGCTATTCGACAACGGTGCCGACGAATATCTCAGGATCTCGGGCATCTACGTCATGCCTGATTACGACGACTAGAAACGCGTAGCAGGTTCTCGAGATTGGAATCAGCAGCAATCGTCTATTCGTTTTGAATACGAAATGATGGCCAGTGAAAGAATGCGCGATGTAAAAATGAATCGGACTCTCGAACACTGATTTCGCCTTTTTTTTTTTTTTT